TCCTATTAATTAGAAATATCGAAAATAATTGATTGTAGGTGTCGGCTTTTTAGTGTGAAAGAAAGAAAATGTTTATTTATTAATAAATAAACCTGAAATATATAAGTGATAGAAATAAACGTTTTGATCGTTTTACGCTCGTGGTAATGTGAAACTCATGTACCAGTTTGAACTTTCAGCACTGTCGTCGGGTACGTAGCGTATTTGCTCTGACTTGCTTGTTTAGACATAACACACTATTTTTGACTGTCTTTCTTCATTGTTTTATTTTCTTCTCGGTTTATGTTTTCCTTTTACTCCGTTTCTTTTCGGTTTTGATTTAATAGTTTATGTTTTATTTTTCTTTAGTTAATTGGTAGATTTTGACTTGGCTTTACGAATACTTTGATTTGCTGTAGTAGTAATTTTCTTATTTTACACGTTAAATTTACTTCCCTCTTATTCTAAACTTGCTTCAGTCATTGGTCTTATTAAATATTCTACTATTTCGGCTATATCATTTCTTAGTGTCTCTTTTACTTGGTACAAAGATCATCTTCGAAATTGAGTATAATGTTTGAACACGAGGTTTCTTTTAGATTATTATCTGCGTAGGCTGGAAGCTATTCAGTTAATTTGGCTTCTTTGACAACGTTTGGCAAGTTGGACAGTAGTGGGATTCACAGAATATAATGGCACATTGTTTGCTTGAATAAACAGTTTATCTTACATCTTTTTGTTTGCAGTCTCTTCTAATCAAAAAGTCTTTCGTTCAAGTATTGATAATAATGACATCCATTTATTGTGACGCTTACATCAACTTTGAAGTGACCAAAAATACCGTCTCAACATATTACTCTACCAGAATAATCTACCCTGACGGTTACAAATTATAACCCAGCCATAAAGATAATCCAGTTTTGCTCTATATTCAGCAATCAAAAATTTTCTGTTGAGAATACAGTTTTCATGTACGTCTTCACTAAACACTCATAATTTTCATTCTTTTTTTTCTTTCTCTGAGTCTTATGTCTTTACAGAACGGTCTTTATAATCACCATCTTTTATTTTTAAATTCAAAAGAGAAGTTTTTATTTATTTATTTCCAAACAATCGGGTTAACGCACTTTTCTAGCTTTTTTAAGTTTATTTGTCTCAATTTTTTTTTCTCAAACCTCTTTTGGTAATATATTTAATTTCTTAAATAATAAACGGATTTCAGAAAAATAAAAAATGATAACAGGTAAGATATGTTGAGTAATCATCTAGACACTATCTGAAGCAACAGGTACATACAGATAAAAAGGAAACAGAATATGAGCAATGGTGTCTAAAAACAAAGAAGCAACAAATCTATGACGTTTACGCAAACATCACAACGAAACACGTGTAATTTGGGCGAAGAAATATACTTAAAAAAAACTGAATATAGAGCTACATAGGATTTACCTTTAGTTTGTAGTTGACAGGAAAGCGGGAAGCCAGAAAGCAGTTTCACAACTATTAGCATAGAACTTATGGTTAAAACTAGCAATTTCAATAATGAAATAATTAGACCTATCTGCCAATCCAGTATGACACTTCATTTCCTGAATTCGAGTTACCAACGTGGAAAGCTCAGAACAATTACTATGAAGATATAGATTAGGCAGAGGAAAGAAACGTTACAGCGATGGAAAAGAGACTGAAGCCGAAATGCCAGGTCAATATCAATAACCTTGCAGATTATTGCTTAGATTTTGTTAAGAATTTCTAGACGCATAACAGAAGTAGCAAACCATGGATGACAGCAATATTCGATGCACGGACAAGTGATAAACTTATGATTCTACAAGATAGATTCTCGTGAGAAAAACCAAACTGTCTAGCTCGACATAGTATGTAATAGATAAATCTCCATGTGGATGTCATTTAGAGCAAATGACATACTCAGTAGAA